AATAAATGTAATAGTAATTGTTACTACTACTAATAATAATAACAACAACAACAATACAAAAGAATGCCTTGTCCTCTTTTGCAGTTAGGGCATCTGGAAAAGACATAACAACAACAACAACAACAACAATAATACATTTTGTTGTGCCCTGTCCTCCTTTGCAGTTAGGAGATCTGGAAAAGAGAGACACTGACTGAATAATAATAATAATAATAATAATAATAATAATAGGAACAATAATAATAATAATACATTTTCTGGTGCCTTGTCTTCCTTTGCAGTTAGGATATCTGGAAAAGAGAGAGACTGATTGACTGACTGACTGACTGAATAATAATAATAATAACAACAACAATAATATATTTTGTGGTTCCTTTGCAGTTAGGACATGTGGAAAAGAGAGACTTACTGAATATAAGAATAGTAATAATAACAATAATACATTTTGCTGTGCCTTGTCCTCCTATGCAGTTAGGACATCTGGAAAAGAGAGAGCCTGACTTATTATTATTATTATTATTACCAGGAGGAAGAGGAATATATTGTGCTTTGTCCTCCTTTGCTGTTAGGATATCTGGAAGAGAGAGAGTGACTATTATTATTATTATTATTATTATTATTATTATTATTAGTCATAGTAGGAGTAGGAGTAATACATTGTATCTTGCCCTCCTTTGCTGTTAGGACATCTGGAAAAGAGAGAGTGACTATTATTATTATTATTATTATTATTATTATTATTATTATTATTATTATTATTATTATTATTATTATTATTATTATTATTATTATTGGAGGAGGAGGAGGAGGAGGAGGAGGAATACATTGTGCCTTGTCCTCCTTTGCTGTTAGGACATCTGGAAGAGAGAGACTGACTGACTGACTATTATTGTTATTATTATTATTAGGAGTAGGAGTAATACATTGTGTCTTGTCTTCCTTTGCTGTTAGGACATCTGGAAAAGAGAGAGACTGACTGACTGAATAAGAACAAGGACAACAATAATAATAAGAGGAGGAGGAACAGGAGAAGGAGGAGAAGTAATACACTGCCTTGTACTTTGCTGTTAGGACATCTGGAAAAGAGAGACTGACTGACTAAATAACAACAACATGCATGGCAGGGGGTTGGACTGGATGGCCCTTGTGGCCTCTTCCAACTCTATGATTCTATGAACAATGACAACAACAACAACAAGAGGAGGAGTAATAATAATACACTGCCTTGTCCTTCTTTGCTGTTAAGACATCTGGAAAAGAGAGAGACTGACTGACTAAATAACAACAACAACAATGACAACAATAATAATAAGAGGAGTAGGAATAATACACTGCCTTGTCCTTCTTTGCTGTTAGGACATCTGGAGAAGAGAGTGTCTGACTGACTAAATAACAACAATGACAACAATAATAATAAGAGTAGTAGTAGTAATAATACACTGCCTTGTCCTTCTTTGCTGTTAGGACATCTGGAAAAGAGAGAGACTGACTGACTGACTAATTAATCATAATCATAATAGGAGTAGGAGTAATATATTGTGCCTTGTCCTCTGCTGTTAGGACATCTG